TAATTGTAAACATTGTTAATTATCTAATAAAAAGCCCCCGGCCATAGAGGTCACCTTAACACTGAAAAAAAAAAAAAAAGTCTTTACTTTACTTGGAAGTTGATGATGATGATTCACTTGGTTTCACTTCTAACACTTTTTGTGACCTTCCTCTTTTATTGGGTGTCTCAACTGCTTTTTGATCAACATATTTTCTTTTCCCTAGATTTCTTATATCATCTATGCCTTGTCTTTCATCAACCAATTCGACCAACAAATATTCCCTATTTCCTTTCAATTCATTATTGGTGAGCTCTACCAGTCATATATCAGGGTTCTTTTGTTTGTTATTTTTCTTGTCCAAACTTCGCTCCTTTTTCTGATATTCTTTTTCTAGACAGTTATGCAATATGTGATCATCTTTTTGGCACATAAAACACTGAGGTCTTGTATTTTGATTATTTTGTCATAGTATGTTTTCTCTTTTCGTGAGATCCTTCATTGCTTTAGCCATTTCTTTTATCGCATCTTTTATCTCTTAAATGTCATTATCAGGTCCTTTTTCAATTTGGGATATTCTCAAGGCTTCCATTGCCTTTGTTAATTCATCGACCTCATTCTTGCTATTCATATTTGTTTCTTCAAGTAGTGTCTTGTTCACTCTCTGTATATCGAATTCATTGTCCTTATTATATCTTTCAATTTTCATAGCCAGTTTTGCTGCTTCTTGGTAGTTAGCTGGAAAATACTCTTCCACCTTCGATTGATACTCACTTTTCAATCCCACTATGAACCATTTTCATTTTTCTCTATCATGTATTTCATCTTTTATTGTATGAGCATACGATTCGAATCTGTTGGTATACCCTACCACAGATTCGTTTTTTTCTTGTCTCATTCTCATCAACCTTAAAACCTTTTCTTCCATGTGAAATTTTATTTTTGTGGCCTTTTCCATCTTGGTCTTTAGGTTCGCCTAGAAGTTTGCGCTTTTCATCAATTCGCGCACCTATCCTTCTGCCTTTTCAGGGTTTCCTTAAAGCCGGGCAGATTTACATATTGATCTAGATTTTGCATAACTTGCGTTCTTGATATTCTAATACACCTGCTAACCCTAACTGCATCAAAAAAGTAACCCTAACTTCTGC